GAATTACAAATATATTGTTGTTCTATTTTAAAACAAAAAGATGTATAATCAAATATTTAATTGCAGATAAGGTTTTAAGAATAAAGTTTTTTTCATTTGCGGCAATTTAAAGAAAGTTTACGGCTCTGAACTGAGCATATAGATAATACAAAATCACTGAACGGTCTGCTTTCAGTTTTGTAAATATATATCATTGGAAAATGTGCAGTGCAAACCAATGTTGCGGTGGTAAATGTTCATTTGGTATAACATGTAAAGTGCTGCTGTTTTTTTTCCCAGTTTATAGGATAAACTTATGAGCCATTCTAAAACACTATAAATACATTTGTAAAGGCGTAGAGCTAATTACATACAATACTTACCTGTGTATAAAAATCTTCTCAATAAATCACCATGTTAATTTTAGCATATTCAGTATTCAAAGTATTTTTTTTTCAATAAAGTACAAGTACCGTTTCCGATTGATAAAAGAGTCATAGAAAACAACACCATGCATGCATGAGCACTAAAAGGCAAACGTCATCATGATGGTCTCAACACTCAGAAAGTGTCTTTGCTTTCTTCATCTATCTGTAATGCCAGACATCCTGATTGATTGGATACCAATACAATGTCCAAAGCAAAAGGCTGTCTTTTGAATTCGCCATTCCTCTCTGAGCTGTAGGTTTGCCCACTTGACCTTCATATGATTCAATTCAAAACCCAAACTATGACTTAGTAAAACTTTAAGCATCAGAACATGCATCATCACACCTTGGTCTCCTTATCAGTAAGAGAGGTGGCCCAGACTTCTGTAATCAGATATGGCAGAAATCTGTGGATCAACAGAGCATTCCTGTCTCCCGTTCGATGGATGTTGGTTACACCTACCAGGTCCTCCTAGACATGCATATCATCATTAAGGTTGTATTGCCTGTCTTAACAGCACCGGCTGAAAGATCTTTTAGTGACCTTAGAAAGTTAAAAATTTATCCCTGAAACACCATGACTGAGAAGAGGCTGACTGAAATAGCATTGCTGCACATCCATCGCATTAATTAAGTATCCACATTGACCAAGTGCTCAAGTATTCTGTGTTTAAGTTGGGATAGGTATTTAAAAGAAATCAAAATGTCAAATATCCGGGTGAACGATTATGTCTCCGATAAAACAAATTTTAACTTTATTTCAACTCGTTTTGCAGGGAAGACCAGCTCACCGAGATTTTCACGTGCATGCACAGACCAATAGATTCGTGAATATTTTATGTAAATTAATAGATTTTCATGTCAAAAAGAAAAGGACGTTTTCGATGCCTAGAAGTCCGCAAAATTTACGCGAAGGTGTGTTTGGCATGGAATGAAGATGAATGCCGAAGCTATTAATACTGGATGTTCTACTGTGCTGTTCGACACCTAAGGCAACCTTTTTTAAGCAACATGACGTACAGGAGATCGACCACATAGTTGACGTCCGCGCGTCAGAAGACCGCTATTTTCGGAACACACAGCTGCGCAATTGTTTCCAAACTGCCATAGCTCCTGCTAACACCCCTGGTACACGTAACAACCGTGATGCAGTCCGTTGCTATTATATCGATCGGAAGTATTATTTTCTCGCGCATGCGCAATCTACGTAGGACAAAAAAGAGCATCGCCCTACATAAAAATATAGAAGTTCAAAAACAATTTCCGAGCAAGTTTAAGGTAAAAAGAAGAAAATTATATGAAAAAGCTTTTAACAAAAAAAATAAAGGATGACTTTATAGCTTTGTGGGCAAGTTTGCCATGAATGGGTACGGAAAAGATAACTGTTGCGCAATTAAAACAGTATGAAGGTAGAATAAAGTTAAGTAAAACTATGCAAACACCGATCGCGAATAAAGTGCGCAAGAAAAAGCACGATTTCAACTTAAAAGAGGGTAGAAAGCTTGCGGGGATAAGGAAAAGTAAACCGCGTGAGGATGGGAAAATTTTAAAGTTGATAATAATGTCGAAATGATATAACCGTCGAACATTTTAAAAATTATTTTTCAGATTCGTTTAATGATATTCCGACAATTGTTATAAATAACTTATGATTTAAATAAACATGATCCGACATATTATTATCTTAATTCTCCTCTTTGATTCGGAAATGGTATATGTAACGGCTGCAGTCAAATTGCCATGTCCAAGTGAATATAATTTTAAATGAGGCCACCTTACAGATTGTTTCAGTATTGTTTTATTCCAGGTTAGTTCCCAAATAATGTGGGAAATTATTCACTGCTGTGTTAACAGCTAGGGTTGAGAAATGGTTCTAAATTACAATATAATTATATTCTATCAGTTCGGTTGCCGAAAGGTTCACCGCACCGAATCTCATAGAACATGTTCTTTCTCAAGGGTCAAGTTTGACATGTGCATTTGTAGATCTACAAATGCAAATGATTGCGTTTATCTTCAGGCACTTTAGTTTGAATTGAATCATCTTGGGTTGGATAGAAAACATTAAAAATGTTTAGGTCTATGACTTATGATACAGTTAAGTTTTGTGATAAACATTCCGACTCCTACTCTGATTGAATTTTTTTTCAATATTTCCAATGGATTTAGACAAGACCAAAATAATTCGCCAGTAACGATCGCCCTTTTGTGAAGACTTAGAACTATTCCTGCAAGGATTAAATAAGCCAGGTATATCTATTGATGATATTGTCTTATCAAACTGCTTTTTTCGGATGATATGGCAATTATTTGAGATTCATTTGAATATTTACATGTCAGATTAGATACATTATGTAAGTACACTGGTGTCTACAAACTAATATAACTAAGGCTAAAGTGATGGTGTTCCGTCGTAGAGGATGGCTAAAATATAATGGGCGCTGGCAATTTAATAATTAGAAAAAATAAAAAAAAAGCTGAAAAAAACTGAAACTACCTGGGGTGGAGTTAAATTATACCGGCTCTTTCGTTTTAAATAACCAGTACAAATTCGGAAAAGCCTTAAAAGCCTCAAATTTACTGCTGTATAATATAGAAAATATGAACTTAACCTTAACTTTTCTATATCGCTACAATTATTCAATGTGTTTGTGGGATCTTTCTTACCGGTTTTAATACGTCTAATGAGATATAGCGTGTACACCTCAAATACTGTAAAACGATTTTGGGCGTTAGATTATGTACAAGTAACGTATCCAGTTATGGGGGAATTAGAGAGGTATTTGTTATTTATTTCAATGTATCCTCGTATAATTAAGCATTGGTTTGCATTAACAATAATGCCTGTGCTAAATGTAAAAATGGCAGAAATAACTGGCCACGTAAAATTACGAAACTGTCTGCGGTACTTGGTTTTCCGAAATAAGGAATTTAATTTTCCCGGCAGTGTTTTGGTAAAACAATTCTTACCTATTTTTTAGCAAAGACTTATCGATTGTGATGTACAGGCACAGCGTTCAGATGTATCTAGTAAAGGTGTTAACACACATCTATTCATATGTAAAAGGCCAGTTCTTTTTTAATTATATTTTTAGACAAGACAAATTGTAAATCATTTAGAAGCGCTCGCACAGGCCCTCGAATGTCCTCTCACAGACTTAGTCCGAAAGGTATGGTCGGAGCCGTTTAGAACACCACAAAAGAATATGCCAATTTTGTGATGCTAACGATCTCAAAGACGAGCATCATTGTTTTTAAATGCAGTGCTTATGAACATCTTATTATCCAATGTATTAAGTGGTGTTTTAAACATTCGGCCTAGTTTGGTCAAATATGAAATAACTCCAATATAATTGCCACAAGGTACTTAAAAACTTATGTTTATATACATATATATACTGTGACATTCTTAATATTATATTGAGCAAATAATTTGTCAAACAATCTCGATTAAAAACGTTATAGTTTGTTCTCCGCTTTACTTTAGTTCCTACAGAAGAAATTATGGATAAAAGATAAAAGGAGTTTTGTCAGTTAATGTCATGCACTGCATTGTACGTATTAAATATCCCATTATTTTGCATTGTATTGGTAAATCATTTACTGTAATTAACTACGGACCTTTTTTGTTTTATTGTTCTCTGTAAGTCGAGAAACTCGTGCACGTAAGATTAAGCATTGCATAATAACTTTAACAAGTGAAAAAAGTTGTTGTATAAGTTGTGATAATTGATAATAAAAACGTCTAAGGAGTTCTTCTTTTAGAGTCTGAATGACTTATGGCTAAATGGTCCTAATTATATTTAAAAGTAACCCTTTCAAAACGATTTTTATTTAAATTGCTTGTAGAAACTTACCAGTTACAAAGAACCTCTTGCATCTTCTACTGTATTTATTTACAGAGACAATGTATTGACATGTTACAGTTTTACACTTAAAAAATAGTATTCGAATTTCAAGGTTCTATACAGTATCTGGTTGTTTAATAAAAAGATATGGCTACATCACATTCCACATTTAGAGATAGAATATAAAACTAAACAGCGTCCATATTTTCAGAATTGTAATTCAAATACATATGTATAATTTCAGAGACATTTTGCTTCAATATTGAAAATAGATATTCAAGATTATTTACTACATGTATAAATACAGGATTTATTTTCATCGAGTGGTATGAAAATATGTATAACACGAGTGGCGGTTAGTAAACCATGATTATTTTCTTATCACAAGAAGATTTATCATTATTTTCGGCCTAACGTCCCGAAAGACTATCCCTGTAATTGTGTGTTTTAGCTGAATTTAAAAAGGCAGCCTTAAAAAACGGAAAAAATGTTTCACCGCAGTGAAAATAAAATTGCCACGGTCTGTTGTGAGGGTATGATACCTACATGTAACAATAAGAATTTAGAAATACTCATAAAAAAATAAATTGATAGATAAATAAAGGACCAGCCAAAGATAAGAGCAAAAATCGCTGTCTTTAAATACATGTATATCTAAAGAGACTTGCTTTTACTTTTAAAACTCCTGTGTCTTTTCTTCTTTTTTTTTCTTTTTTTTCTCTTTTTATTCTATACTTTTCCAATATTACCCAAGAAAATCAATTGTAGTTATCTTCTTCTTCCCAGTACATATGTCTTCTACCTCAACCATGATTTCCGTCCCACCAAATAACATAGAAAGTGAAACCTTTCTTTTACTTGTATTACTTTCCTCATCAAACTCTATCTCTAGTTCTCCTATCTTAAAGCATTCATCATCATCAATGTAAACGGGGTCTTCTCTATCTCTCTCTAAAGCATAGATTTTAAACAGCATAATCTTCTGATTACCTAAAATTGTAACATATGTTTTCTTTACTTGTGTTTATCTCGTTTTCACTGATTGCCCAGTTTTCACAAGTTTGTCGAAGACATTAAAACATCTAATACTACCGTCTTTTTCTTTAAATCGTTTGCTCCTTGGATGAATTCCCTCTATAAAAAATGGTGTGTAAGCAGTGCCGTGGGTAAACTTGAGAATCCTTTCACTTATTGAAGAAAGATTGTGTCCATATATCAGAGCACCTCTTAATACGACCGATGAAGCGCCGGCAGGTATAAGAACTTCAGTTCCCGGCAATGCTTCTGACACGGCACGTTGTAAAACCGGTGATTCAGAATAACCACCAACCATCAGCAAAATTCTCACGTCTTTCAGTGAGCCGTCGGATAGCACTGACTTCAAATGACCAACCGTCTTTGTCACTGACGCGTCGAATAATTGAACAAAGACTTTGTTAGAAATCTTCATCTTATCCCGTTTAAGCTCAATCAGACCAGCATACTGAGACGATGCTAATGAAGTACAGAGGTCACGTTGTGAGTGTTTGTTGTAAAGATCAATTAGTGATGCAGGTATTCTCATCCCTACTATACTTTCACTGTCTACAGTCGTCTCTCGTTTCCGTGACTCAAATTCTCGTTGCATGTCAAGCCAATCTTCTTTTTCTTCGTGTTTGAATTTTTCAAAAACTGTTCGTCCTACTATATGTATAAGCAAATTTTCAAATTCTTTGTCAACCATTATACTTCCCCAATCGCCACCACTTGCAGGTCTTATTTCTCTCAATGTGTGCTCACTTCCTGTCTCGTGCACTGTTACGTCTATTGTTCCGCCTAGAAAATGAAACATGTATTTCGCATATGATACCATCAATAGTAGAAGTTCAAACCACTATAATTTTATTATTACCCCTCACTTTTTGTTAATTTCCCTTAGGCCAAGGGGTAAAATTTATACTATACAAATGTACCACGTGATTAAAATATTTGTATTGTTACAGGGAAACAGTATTATCAACAGCATAAAATCTGGTCACATGGCCTATTTTCTAAAAAAAAATCATAATCATAAAAATTATCACAGTTATTGTTCGGGGTAATAAAAAAAGTAACACATGGGCTTGCGAGTAACAGTAAAAATAGCATCCCTCGTAAAAAGATTGTTGCCCTCGGCTTACGCCTCTGGTTACAGTTTTTTTCTCGGGATGATATTTTTAACCACAAACCCGTGTGTTATCTATATGATGATATAGGTAGGACAAACATAATCAAACGTTGTAGAAATAACTTTTTTGAACTTGTTAACAATAAGATTGAAGAAGAATAATTAGGTTTAAAAATAATAGGAGGAGACTTTAATGATGTACTCAACGAAACAGACAGGTATACTCATTCCAACTCGCGCACTAAAACATCTGAAAAGCTTAAAAATCTAATACATTCACATAGTCTATGCGATATCTGGAAACTTAAAAATATAAATAAAATTCAATTTACTTGGAAACGGACTAATGGCGCGGAAAAAAGTCGCATTGATTTTTGGCTTATTGAAATAAAGCATGTCACCTTTAATCGCCAGCTGCGACATAAGACCTGCACAAATAATGTATACTGACCACTTAGGTATCAGTCTAAAAGTAAATATTCCTAGTCATCGCGGTCCAGGTTATTGGAAGTTGAATAATTCTCATTTAGAAGATATTGAATATAAAAATCTTATCATAAATACCATAAGTTCCGTTCAAAATGAATTCAAATCTCATGACATTGATCATAGAACAATGTGGGAAATATTGAAATACAGCATTAAAGAAAAAAGTATCTATTTCTCAAAACTGAAAGCTTAACATAATAGAAACCGATTAACGAGTTTAGAAAAAAGACTTTCGCAGCTATACGAAGAATTTCATTCGCATAATTCAGATACATTACTTAAACAAATAAAAGATTTAGAAATCGAAATCGAGACGATATATATAAATAAAGCAAACGGTGCAAAAATACGCTCTCGTGTACAGCTCATCGATGAAGGTGAGAAAAATACAAATTATTTCCATTCGTTAGAAAAATCGAAACAAACGAAAAAAGTTCTTAACTCGTTAAAAATTGACGGAAAACAAATAACCAACTTTGAAGATGTAATGAACGAAGAGGTAAAATTTTACCAAAATCTATATACAAAAAAGGCAGACAGCGAGAATTTAGGGGATTTTTTCGATAACACTGTTTTTAAGAAAACACTAAAAGACAAAGACTCGGATGACTTAGAATGTTTAATAAATATAAATGAATGCGAAAGCGCACTTCTCAGCATGAAAACCAACAAAAGTCCAGGTAATGACGGACTTACAGTCGAATTCTATCGTACATTCTGGCATCACTTAAAATTTTTATTAGTAAATTGTTATAACGAAATACACAAAGAAAACGAACTTTCAGCTTCGGTGTTATTTCACTATTGTACAAAAAAGGAGACCCAGAAAATATTGAAAACTGGCGTCCAATATCGTTGCTTAATAACGATTACAAAATTTTAACTCGGGTACTCGCGATTAGGTTACAAAAAGTACTTCCGAAAATTATAGACAGCGATCAACAAGGTTACATAAAAAATCGTTTTATTGGTAATTACATACGACAAATATCAGATGTTATTGACTATTGCGGAAAACATAACATTGATGGAAATCTTTTGTTTTTGATTTTAGAAAGGCTTTCGATACGATCGAGTTTGACTTTCTAGTTAAAACCCTTGAAAAGTTTAACTTTAAACCAATGTTTATTCGTTGGATAACGTCCCTTTACAATAATATTTCGTCATGTATATTAAACAATGGTTGGATATTAAAAATGTTCTCCCTATCACGTGGTCTCAGACAGGGATGCGGAATTTCTTCTTTGCTTTTTATCCTTGTTGCCGAGGTCCTAGCTAATTCAATTCGAGAGAATAATGACATTAACGGAATCTCAATAAAAATAAACAATGAAACTTTTAATCTTAAAATGACACAACTAGCCGACGATACTACAATGTTCTTAAAAAGCACAGAAGACATACAAAAAGCATTATCAACTATTGAATTTTTTGGAAAACATTCTGGTCTACAACTAAATTTGCACAAGACAGAATGTGTTAGATTAGGGAATAACTTTGATAATTTAAAATTAACTGACATAAAATGGAGCGAAAAAGTGAAAGCTTTAGGCGTCTTTTTTGGCACAAATAAAAAAGAATGCGAACAACTAAACTGGGAAACGAAAATTCAAAACTGTAAAATCTTAATTAATTCATGGAAGAAAAGAAAACTTACTATTTATGGACGACTCACTGTTATAAAATCAATTTTACTTCCAAAATTTACCTACTTAATGCAATCACTGTACTTTCCAGAAGAGATACAGAAAAAACTCAACTCATTATTATATACATACCTCTGGGACGATAAACGTGAAAAGGTTAAAAGAAATATATTGATAAACGATCTCGAAAAAGGCGGTTTAAACATGATCGACATTGAAAGTTTTGTTACTATGCTGCAAGTTAAATGGGTAAAATCCCTTCTTTCAAATGAATTTGCAAACTGGAAAGTCATTCCAAGTTATTTCTTAAACAAATTCGGCAAAAATTTCCTTGTTTTTTACATGAACTTAAAATCTGTCTCAAGTTTACCAAAAGACTATTATACTTTACCTGATTTCTATAAAGAACTTATTAAAAAATGGATTTTATTTAAAAATATTAATAAGAAGCAGCCAAAACACTTCTTTGATATTCGTAAAGAAATAATTTGGGGTAATGAACACATTTTATGGAATAAAAAATCTTTATATTTTCATAATTGGATAAACTCTGACATAATTTTTGTAAATGATATTATCGATGCAAATGGCGATATCAGTGAACATCTTATTCTTTCAAAACTCAGAAATAAATCAAATTGGCTATCCGAAATTTATACGCTACGTAAAGCTTTACCGCAACTCTGGAAATTCATCTTAAAATCGGACGAATCAATCAAAACTAGGGTTAAAACTGACTTTTCTCCTTTACTTACAAAAGAATGAACAAAGAGATTTATAACATACTTAAAAACAATAAAGCGGAAAAACCATACATTCATCGCCTATGGGAAATTTTATTTGAACATGAAATTCCGTGGAATAAAGTATACCTGAATATAAAGTCAAACATTGACAATAGATATAAACAGTTCCGTTATAAACTCATTCATAATATAATACCGACAGGGGATAACTTACACAAATGGAAATTGAAAAATAGTCCGAAATGCGTTTTATGCAATTGTACTGATAGCACAGAACATTTCTTTATTCATTGTCAATCACTTAATGCTTTCTGGAAAAGAATTATTGAAACTTTTAAGTCACTAGGAATCTGTAAACATATTTTCAATCTCAAAAATATTGTACTAGGTTATAGTTTCGAAAATACGCAGCATTCAAATCTTTGGCAAATTAATTTGATCTTTACAATCATTGGCTTTAGTATATACAAAGCTTATATGATGAGTAACCAACGTGCCGATACTATAAACATTAATGGAATCTTTCTACACGAACTTAACAATATGAAACTATACCTCGTCCATAAGAAATATAATTCTCATTTTATTAAACGCTTTACAACAAACTTTTAATATTGTCAGATATGTTAAAAGATGAGAAAAATTATGTTATAATATTTTATTACAGCTGTGTATACCTTTTTCTCTACTACAATTGTAAAATGATATCATACATTATTTGATAGGTTAAATACACTAACTGTATAAGTATGCACATGTTCTTTGTGTAAATGTTCTTAAAGTTTTTAAATAAAAGATAAAAAAAAATAATCATAATCATACAAATCATCTATTTATTGTTCGGGGTAATAAAATAAGTAACACATGGGCTTGCGAGTAACAGTAAAAATAGCATCCCTCGTAAAAACTGTTGCCCTCGGCTTACGCCTCTGGTTATAGTATTTTCCTCGGGATGATATTTTTAACCACAAACCCGTGTGTTATCTATATGATGTTAACAGGTAAGTTTAAAACGTTCATGTTTTGTTCATTTCAGGAGAACATTGGTTCATTCAAGTTTCCTTGTACAAATATGTTTCACTTCAGTTTTAATCAATACCAAAAATAAGTCATTTTCTTGTTTCTAGATTTGGGAACAAGAAACGAAGAGCTCTAAACGTTTAATAATTAATGCATCTTTCTTTTCAAATTATTTTTATTTATTCATCAATGCCTAAAACAATAAGGTAAAGCATGTTATAAAATATGTACCGAAAAATTATTTGAATTTTTAATGGTTTTTTTCAATTTTAAGTATATGATCAATGTAAACTTAGAATACGTAATCACAACGTATGCCACAACGATTTGTGGATGATAACACTCGTCAGTTTTTTGTGTGAATAAATTAACCATTTCGTCAAAAGAAAAATGCTAAACGTATGGCTATATCAAGCCATATCAGTATCAGAACACTGATTTATTAATAGTAGCCAAATCATTCAGCAATTGTAAGAACAGTGTATTTTTACATTTTAATATAATTGCATCTGTGACGCCTATGAATCTGTAAAATGAAAATATTCAATGATATTTAAAAGAACAATACCTCCTGCATCAACAACTTTTTAATTGGTGCCAATTGGTAACTTGTTCATCGAAACATTGCCAATCTCACCACGTTTATGGATATGAACATGCCTGCAATACAACGAAGCCGCTTTGGGTTCCAGTGCGATTGTTAGATGTTCTTTACATAAACCAGTCTGAGAAAGTAATTATGGTTCGATTAATTACTAGTATTGCTAACATAACTAAAATGAAATTCAAAAGAACTGAATGCTAATTTGGTTCTGTTCACATACCGTTTTCTAGATTTTGAAGACAGAAGATTATGCAGAATATCTAAAGAGACACTATTTTATTTTGATTTTAATTTAATTGGAGTTTTTTCAAAGATGAAAATATTGGAGTTATTTTCCACACTCATACTGGCTTAATAAGCATTAAGTTCTGACAAAAATACACTCTGATTAAAATCAGTTCTAAATAACGCTCCGTTTTTAGATCTGACAGTGACCAAATACGAAACCATTTCTGTTTACCTTGCACACAGCCAATCATCGGCGAACTTTCAAAATTTTGAAAGCGATGTTGTATCAAATTCTAATCCAGGGAAAACGAATACCGATGAGAAGATAATTCTAACCATGTGGCGTTGTCCATATTGTCGACAGGTAAACAATCTTGTCCCATCAAAGATTTACTCTTTTATTTCCAGATAATTTGTTAAAAATTACTTCAAACATTTTTTTCCTAACAAAATCAACAATTTGTTAACCTTCCATGGACAACGGTATTTTGATACTTCTTCTAATGCCTATGTAAAAGCCGGGTTGATTGCATGGGAAATCCGAATTGTTAAGGCGAAACATATACGGTCATCATCAGATCTGCATAAAAGAAATAAGTAGATCTGAACTTAAGTCAGATTGGACAATATGATAGCATTCGAAATATGTAACGTCAGGGTGCAAAACGTGCTTGCCCATTACTAATATAACGTTCCACGTTTAAATTTACATTGTTACCTTTTCAGCAGCTTCACGCATGAATTGTTTAGCGGCATTGGACCAAATTGCAGGAACTGTTACAACTAAGTAAATTTCAGAGTGTCTGATTATACCATCTATACCCTTGCCAGCATTATTCAACATGTCATCTACCAAGAACTTGATTGACATTCCAAAGACATCAGCTGCTAAAAGAGGTCTGCCAGATTCGTCGTTGATTGTTATGTCTCTTTTTAAGTCCTGGAATAATATTTAAACATGTAATGAAGGTTTTTCTTTCAAATTGGAATGAATAAGAAATATTGATTCATATATCTTCTGGACATACATGAAGTACCCGCTATCTTGCTTAAAGTATAGCTTCATTGAATTGATAACTGTCCAAACAGGTTTCCTGCCAATTGTGATTGCATCACAAACCCCGACACTACTTTGCCTACAGGCACTTGATGATGATCATTCAATGAATGATTGGTTGACACATTCTTATAACATATTTCATGAATAGAATAATTATCTTCTTTATACTTGGGAGTTGATAAAGAATATTAAGATATATAAAAACGTACTTTGCCCATCTTACAATAGATTTCCAATTTAAATCGTTTAAAGAAGAAATAATATTCTTCTTTTCCTTTTTCAAGTATTTCTCTATATTCGTTTTCGGCATCGTACCCAAACGCTTTCAATGTTTTACCATCAAGTTAACCAATGCACATGTCGGTGTTTTTTCTGTAACTAATGTTCCTGATCTCGGCAGCCAATGTTTTGTCGTTGCTTTTGTCGGATCCGAATCATAGTCATGTTTGAAAGAAAAGGCCCAGCCGGAGTAAGTCGTTCTAAAGTCTATCGCTCCAAAAAGAAGTCTTTTTGCGGTCTTCTGCGAATTGGAAACCTGTGCATAATATGAAAATTATTTCAGAAGTTTGGCCAACACAACATACATTAGGAACATTAGGAAACCAGATGCATTGAATGAAATAAGAACAAGGGATAAATAGACATTTAACAAAATACATGTAATTGTTGATTGAAATAAAAAGTACGTTTCTATGAAGTAAACTGATACAAAAAGCTATGTAAGGCCTACACAAGTGTATATGTTTTTAAACTTACAATCTCGTAAATACACTGACATGATAAAATTAATGCTATGAATTTGTTCAATGAAAATGAAATAATGTAAGAGTCGGTTGCATTAATTAACTATTGACTTAATGAACTGTTGAACCTATATGTCCATACATATATTATATATATAAAGACGTATCAGAAATCTATTTAGATATTATCATTTGTATTTCGTCAGCAACCTGTTTAACAAATAAATGATAAATTGCAAAATATTTTTATTTACTTTAAATCAATGATTTCGATTGGTTTCATATTGTTTTTTCCCTTTCCTCACAGCTAAATGCCTCGCTAACGTATAATCCCGAATTCTTCAGATGACTTTACGTTTTAACATGTATTACTGCAGGAGGGAAATTCTTTTATTTAGTTTATTTTCCTAAATTGCAATTTTCCCAACATTAACCTTATGATTCATATGATTCAAGATTTTTCAAGATTTTATTTTCAAAACACCAGAAGGTCATAGACCGATGTGGCCAACATTTACATACTATATATGGCTAAAGCAATTTAACATTTAATAATAATAATTACATATTCAAACATACATTTTTACACTCATTACATACATATATATAAGCATAAGTGCATGCACGCTCATAAATTTGCATATATACCATCTACACATATGTATACACATATATTTTTCGCATAAGTATAAGCATAAATTTGCATATATACCATCAACACATATGTATACACATATATTTTCGCATAAGTATAAGCACTGCTATAAGCAACCCGTTTTTAATAACATTTATATGCTCCAACATTTTTTTATTTTTTTTAACATAATAGACAGAATAAACATTTTTAACATTCAATACACTTGTCTGTGCATATACAGCATAGTACAGTAAAGTAAGTAGTAGTAAGAAAAATGATTCCATATCTAGTCACAACTTGCTCGAAAACGAAAGTTGAAAGTTGGTGACCAAAGGGTTTTATTTCAAAAAGTTATAAAATTTTAAATCATAAATGTAAAATGTCAATCGGACATAAAATAAATATGAATGCTTATTCCATTTCCAGTCACAACTTGCACAAAAACGAAACAACAAGTTGATTGACATATGGATTTACTATAATTGTACATAATGAGATTACATTTTACAAAGCTAAGTGATAAACAATAAAGGTATATAAGAGTCATACTAACAAAATTCACATCATTACATCTTGAAAAATCAGTTTAAGAATAATTGTCTCTGTAAAGTTCGTTTGTTCTTAATGCAAATGCTTTTTCTACATATGTACTTAAATTTCTTATGACACGTTTACATTCTGTAGTAATTAAATCAACAAATTTTTGCATATTTGGTCGTCTGTAATAATAGGCTGGTACAAATTGCCTTCTCAAATCGTTATATAAAACACATTCTAAAACAAAATGATATTCGTCTTCTAATTTATCGCAAAAAATACATTTCCGTTAATTTACCGGAGTGCTAACAGGTCTAGTCCATCGACCACTTTCAATAAAAAGTCTATGTGATGACAGGCGTAATCGTGATAAACAAACACGGAATTTTTTAACGTTTACCAAATCAAGATATGGTTGAAATCTGTGGTATAAAAAATATTTATAAAACAAAGCTCTACTTGAGTTATATAGTCTACCAGACCAGTTTTGTAAAAACTGATCCTTTAATCAATCTTTGTTTCACATTATACAAAAACAGTTCAGAGTCTCCAACAGTCTGAAATAACCATACTTCATAAAAACCAAGAGTACATAAATCTTTCAATAATGAACACCATTTTTTCTGTTTGGATTTTCAATAATATCTTGTTTCAACATTAAATACACCTTCTTAATATATTTGTTTTCATCTGTAGTCAACAATTATATCCAAAATTTTATAATGTTATAATATCTCATATTTTGCAAAGGCATTCTTCCTAGTTCACCATAAATAAAGTCGTTTTGTTTGTTTTTCTTTACTCCTAATAGTCTTTTGCAAAATTGCATATGTAAGCGTTCTACGGCCTTGCCTTGATTAAAACCCCATACTTCACTTCCATAATTTAAAATAGGTAATATCATTTTATCGAAAAGATCCAATTTATGCCTTACAGATATATCTGTGAATTTATATAAATATTTATCCATTTTGAAAATACCCTATATGTATACACTATCCATATCGATGTTAGTTTTGTTAGTTTTTTCTTTAATCGTGTTTACAGGCATAACCTCAAAACCGTTTATATAGTCATTAAAAGTGTGTGTGATTTTTTTGTTATTGTTGTTGTTTTGTAAACTGCGGTATGAGTCAGCTATGGATTTTATATCTATTTGCATAGTTTGTAAAAAAGTTGCATCATACCTTCGATGAATGAAAACGATGAAAAATCACCAAAAATATATCTACATGGCGAAATACCTACTTTATTAATTAAATGTACATATATGATTCTGATAATTTTCTTAAATTGAGTGTACATTATATTTGGATAAGTACAGGTGACAGATATGAATGACAATGAAATATAAGACGCAAATATTCATCAAATATGTAATAATAACATTTGATTAATTAAGAGACATTCTTCTCAAAATTTAAGGCCATCACATACGTCAAGTTTGCAATGAAATATCGATTTTTACATTTATTTTGAAATGTTAGAATATTATCAAGTATTTTATTCAGGAAAAAAAGTTTTGTTTAATCGAGAAATCTGTATTTTTATTGATAAATAGCATATCAGACCTGGCATGATGACAGCTATCGATGATACTTTGCAGCGTCGACTTTGAGAATTGATTTACAGATATTTTATTTGTATAACTTTCGATTTCAAATTTATGTTTCAAGAAAACAAAACATATAATCAATGGTTAAAATGCAGTATACATTTTAAGATTAAATAATTAAGTATTATCTGAGCAATGTCAAGAAAAATCAAAAGTTAAAAATAACTGCCATGTCTTCCTACTAAATGTCAATGCATTCACAAACAGGAAGTAATATACACACTTGTGACGAATGTTTTTGGATAATGTTTTATCAGTCTGAATGATTATGTATAGATTACGCAGTGTAGCAAATTTTAAATGTAATGAACTTTTGTTTAAGTATTTTATATTAAAATAAAGCATGTTTTTGTATTAATGTGTTATTTAATTAAATTAAATGAGTAAATGGTTTTTATTTCCATAGATTTTCTAATTTAAAAAATCATGTGATTTCAAGACATGATATTTTGAGCAATTTATACTTCGAATTTTTTTAGGACTATATATATACTTCGAATTGTTTAGGACTTTTTTCTGTTGTAACACATACATGTATATAGTATATAGTATATTTATCTTTTCTGCAGGAATTTCTTTTAAGTTGGGTCTAAGCTTTGGCTAAAATGCCTAGCCTACTAGAGGATGTGATTAAGAGTGAGAATATGCCACAGATATATGAAGTACATCAATTACCTGTTATATTAATATATGTTCTACATATTGGATTATGTATTTTGGCATATTAGCCAAAACTTAGACCCAACATAATGCAGTATCCCCTAGTAGGATAGGCATTTTAACCAAAACTTAGACCCATTATAATGCAGTATCTGTATGTCTGGTTTTTACGCCGATTTTAATACATTTTATCAGATCCACCTAACTGGCTTTCCTGGATTACTAATCACTTATTTTTTTTATTTCTCCGCAAGTGACCGACTACTAATAAAACATGGGAGCCCTTTGACCTTAAGACTTGATGTATAATATATCAGGAAAAAATTCACCTTGCCCGGGAATCAAAGCAGCAACCACTTTGTTTCCCTATTGAGTTATCCGAGAGGACATTACAGTCAATCAAAAGAAAATAACAACCTCCTTTTGATAACAAATTATGCCACTCTGTAGCTGATGAATATAAATGTCACTCATGTTATGCCAATCAACCATACTCCGTTTTTTCTGTTTTGGTATACAATTTAAGCATCTGATACTGATAATTTTCTTAAATTGACATGTACACTATTTTGGTTAAGTTGAAGCGATAGATTTTTCATGAAATAAATCAAATATAAGGCGCAAATATTTATTAACAATCAAAAGACATGCTTGCCCACATTATAGGCCATTAATTCAAAAAGCCCATACTTTAGCACTCCAAGGAAACAGATATCCAAATAGATACTGATCGAATATAATTATATCGTGTTTCGGTGATACATAAAGACCACAATGTTTCGTTATAAAGTAGAAATTTATTGCAATCAAGCATCAACATATATCTATACAGCTTTATGGTCCACATAAATTGCAAATGTATTATTATTTTAAGAAAACCAAAAATATAGTCACATATTTATATGTAGGTAAGGTTTTAACAAATATCTTAATTGAAATGATTAAAAATAGAAAAAAACATCAAAAACTATACCATCTATATAGATAACTTATAAATCCCTGAAGCTACATAGTAGGAAGTTATAT